ACAAGCCTGAACATGAGTTTGCAAAGTTGGCCCAAGGTGGATTGTTGCTTGATCTCCGGAATAAGTTTGAGGGTATTAAGTTTCGCGACATTTACGACCTCCTACTTCGAGTGGATCGATATGAAGCTCTTCTAAATGAAGAACAACAAAATAATCGGTCGACATCTCGGCCGACCTTTTATAGAGATTTGCCAAAACCTTCCACATCTAGAACCACGGATGTCCATGCAGTGGATGTTAATGGTCATGATATTCCGTCGGCTAACAAACTTAGAAATAAGACTTTTTGCAAATGGCATAATGTATGGTCTCATGCAACTAATAATTGCCTCATTTCCCGAAATATTGTGCAGGACCTCATGGATCGAAAGACCTTGAAATTTCCAGAGAAAGCTACAATGGGTGTCAATCAGAATTTGTTTCCTAATGCTCAGGCCAACATGGTGAATGCCAACTTCCCAAGGCTAGATCAACCTCGATCAAGGTTGGACTAGCAAAAAATAATGAGAATTGTAATAATTTAATTAATTAAGTATTAATTTATGTCAAAATCGAATGTAAAATGAAAAAGTTGTAAAGGTGTAAGCATCAAACCAACAAAACAAAACAATGAATATTAAGCAAGATTAGTTTGTCCGACTAAATTAATATTGGGTGCACATGAAAGCTTCCCTCTTACAATTCACATTTCGAGAAAACTTGGGTGCACAGAGCGACAGAGAGAGGAGGATGGACGTAGAAAAGAGACGTTGGGATCTCTCTCGCCTTTCCCTACCAGAGATCTTAAAACCATAAACATAAACATCTATATATATTTACTTTTCTTCTTATTCTTGGGCAAGGCAAGATCACGCGACTATGACCTCCTTATGTCACAATGACCAGAAATCAAATACATGTACATATATGTGTGTGTATATATTTTTTCTTGTTGTTTAATGCAAGGATGGATGAGTGAAGTTAAGAAAGATTCCATAGATTCCCGTAAAAGCAGATGCAGACGAAAGAAAAGAGATGGGATTTAAATCTCTCTCTCACTCACTCTCACTCTCTAACCAAAAACATAAAGGCTCATGTATATAATATATTTACTCTTCTTCTTCTTTTTCTCAGGCAATAACAAGCGACCGTGACCTCTTTGCATTCATCAAAACTTTAAGAGAAGAGGGTATTTTCTCTTGCTCCGCCTAGATGATATTTGTGGAAATTGGGAAAGTGATGGGCGGAGGCCTTGTGAATAAATGGATGTTTTTAGAGCGTAGGATTTGGCTGATGCGATAAGCGCTGAAATTTTTCAGTAGCTGGTGGGTATACTGAAGGTATATTGTCATGGAGGTGTCTTTGGCAAGGAAGTCATGATTGAATTGATGAACGACCAGCTAAGATTCGTTGAATATCTGAATTTTTCTAGCTTCCATCTCATTGGCTAGCCGAAGGCCAACTATGAGTGCTTCATACTCTGCCCCGTTGTTGCAAGTTTGGAAGTTGAAGCGAATGGCGTACTCCAGAACCACCATATTTGGGGAAGTGAGGACTAAAACTGCACCACAACCCTTGGAATTGGAAGATCCATGAACATGAAGGGTCCATAGTGGCTCACTAAGGTCGAAGTTGCCTTCAGCAGCAAGGTGGATTAGATTCGGTGTCGAAGTAGGTTCAACAATGATCTGGGAAGGGACCGAAGGTATAGGTTCGGTGAATTATGAGATAAAATCAATAAATGCTTGTCCTTTTTCAGATGGTCGCGGCTTGAAGTGGATATCAAACTCCCCAAGTTCGATTGCCCACTTAATTAGCCTGCCATATGTCTCAGGCTTCTGCAAGACTTGTCTTAGAGGCTGATTAGTGAGGGTATGAATTGTGTGGGCTTGAAAAAATGGCTGAAGTCGTCGAGCTGAAACAACCAAGGCGAGGGCAAGTTTCTTAATGTCAGAATAACGACCCTCAGCGTCTTATAGTGCTTTATTGACATAGTAAACAGGGTGTTTAGCCCCAGTTGGTTGCCGAATCAAGTGTGGAGAGGAGAGGTGCCTGGCTCATATAAGCCTTCAGCTCGGTGAAACCTTTATCGCACTCTAGGGTCCGGATGAAGTTACGCTTATTGCCCTTAAGGGCCTTGAAGAATGGGGTACAACGATCGGTAGCCTTGGAGATTAATCAGGTAAAGGCTGCCATACGTCCAGTAAGGCTCTGGATGTCTTTGACTATCTTTGGCACCTTCATGTCCAGGATGGCCTGAATGTTTTTAGGGTTAGCCTTAATGCTTCTCTGGTTGATCATAAAGCCGAGGAACTTCCTTGAAGCAACGCCGAAGGCACATTTTGTGGGATTGAGGCACATGTTGTAATGCTTTAGCACGTCAAACATAGTAGATAGGTTAGTGATATGCTGATCTGCTGGGCGATTCTTAACTAACATGTCGTCAGCGTATACCTCCATGGTGCTGGTAAGTAGCTTCAACATTTTTTAGGCCAAAGGGCATCACCTTGTAGCACTATAGGCCCCGATCTGTGATGAAGGATGTGTGAGCTTGGTCATCGGGATGCATGAAGACTTGGTTGTACCCAGAATTAGCATCCATAAAGCTGACAAGCTCATGGCCTGCTGTTGCGTCAATAAGCTGGTCAATTTGGGGGAAAGTGTCACATCCCAGGACTGGCTCCACCGTAGCACGATATTGTCCGCTTTGGGCCCCCCTCTCTGCCCTCACGGTTTTGTTTCTTGGAGCTCACGACCAACTTCCCAGTGGGTCACCCATCCTGGGATTGCTCTGGCCCCCAACTCGCTTAACTTCGGAGTTCTCCTGACTCCGAAGCCAGTGAGCTCCCAAAAGGCCTCGTGCTAGATGGATGCGGGCATGTACATATAAGGCACATCACCCCCTCTCCGTTTGGTCAATGTGGGATCTTACAGAAAGGAAAGCTATCATTGGGACAAGCATGATTGAGGTTGGTGTAGTCCACACACATGCGCCAACCACGCTTAGACTTGCGAACCATGACCACGTTCGCCAGTCATGAGGGATAATCTACTTCCTTAATGAAGCCAATGATGTGCAACTTCTCAACTTCAGTCTTCATGGCTTCGTAGGCATGACGGTTTTGCCGAACAAGACGTACGTTGGGATCAATGCCCAATGTATGAGAGATAACCTCGAGAGAGTAACAATAAAGGTGAAAAGTAGTTACCGTTTTTACTTAGGCACTATTCATCTTTTATGGAGAAATGAAAGTGGGAGTTTGCACAAAGTTTCACTGTGGGACTTTGTGCAAATCATGATTCACGTCCAAGGCTTAAGTTCTGTAGTTGATCGTCTTCAGCAGGCAATTGCCTCATCTGAGGAGGGTGTCTTCGGTTGCTGAGATCATGATGATGTCATCAGTGTTTAGGGATTTCCAGAAGTGTCTTACCTTCGGCAGGTTATAAGTTTATATGCGTACTGGTCTCCCAGTACCAAATGTGCCCATTTGATTATGGTACAAACAAAATACATACTTGAGTGAAGTTATGCGCTCCACTAGCTCACAGGGTACAATTTCATGCTGAAAGAAAAGAAAGGGAAAAACTTTAAATTTAAGTAAATGCATACTTAAGATAAGCTATGCTGGTAATTTATTGCATTTAAAATACAAAAGAGTATCAGAGGCTTTTACATTTCTCATTCCCATTTCCACGGCAGTTAGGACCCTAAAATCCTCTTTGGAGAGGTATCTCAACATGTTCACGTCCAACTTCATTCTCTCTTGCTTTCTCTACTCATTTTATGCTCGGAATTTTGAGTTTTTCAATCTGTAAACTTTAATGGAGCAGCAAACGCAGTCAAGAAGAGGAGGCAGTCTTATCTGTTACAATGGTGCAAATACAGTCTTATAAGAGAAAAAAAAAACTTGTGTCAGAGAGAGAGAGAGAGAGAGAGAGAGAGAGAGAGAGAGAGAGAGAGAGGAAGAACATGAAGTCTCATAGAAGGAGAGAGGAGGAAGAAGAGACACAAGCAATGGAGGAGAGAGAGACAGGCGCCGCCGTTTATTTTCAAATGGAAAACCTGGATGTGGATTTGATTGTCTTAGGTTTGGCAGTGCGAAGAAGATGATAGAGGCCTCAAGAGACAGGCACCGGTTGGAGAGTGGATTAGTCGACCAGAGTGAGTGGGGTGCAGCGCAGCTTAGGAGGAATTAAGAGAGGGTATAATGCCTTAGATTTATTATTGAAGTATAACACAAGGTGGTGTCTTGGTGGTTTGGTGGTAAGTTGCTGGGTATTGAAGAGAGGGGTCAGGGTATCGAAACTTCCTCCCGCCTTTCTGAACTTTATATAATATTTATTTTATTTTATCTTACTGAATATATATGCTCTAATAAGTAATTTATTATTATTGTTTATTAGAAATATTGCCAACCAAACAAAAGCATACCCTCTGTTTGGATGAAGAAATTGAAATTACATGGAATTCTAAAATGATGTAAAATGGGAATTAACAATGTGTTTGGATGTGGGAAATAAACTTGGGATTTTGATAAAAGTCTGAATTTGTAAATTGAAATGAACTAATTCCTGTATTTGGATAAATAAAAAACATATAAATTTAGAAATTATTAATGGGAAAAAACATGGAATTTGGAGGTCATAAATTCTAACTTTAAATTCTATCTAAAAGTATCTCTAAAATTCCAAGAAAGATTGAGTTTTTCAAAAAGATAACTTTACAAATAATTGTTAAATTACGTATTTTAAATCTGTCACCCAAACAAGAAACTTTACAAATTCTATAACATCAATTTTTGTCATTCTAAACTCCTTTATTTTTGAATTTCTCATCCAAATGCATTTCGGGATAGAAACAAGAGGAAGGGGGCAGAAAAAACAAAAGTTAGGGTGTGCAAATCAAAGTCCAATTTGTTCAATTGAGGCGTGAGTACCACGTGCCTCTGGGCGCGTACGCCTACCTTCCCCACACGAAGCCCTCCCCTCTCTGACCTGCATTTACCAAAAACCACCGCACAAAACCAAGAAAACCAGTGGACATGTCAACCACCATTTCCACACATAAACATAAACATAAACACAAACACCACCCACGGCTTCTTTTGTCATAAGCTCTCAAACCCTTCTCTCTTAACCTCCTACCCATAATAATTATTAATTAATTAATTATAATTAGTTGTCTATTTATATAAATAAATACCCAAAAAGAATTGTTCAGGTCCTCTTTTGTTGTTTATTAGTTTTGTTGCTTAAGAGGTCAATTAGTCGTTGAGCTTTCTCTTTCTCTGTTTGATCGGCTGGTAGTTCTTATGTTTGACTCTAATTGAAGCAACCCTTGTCTCTTAAGCTCTATACTCCAATGGCTTTTCTCCTGTTCTCTTTGATTTCTCGCTTTCGCTTGCATTTCGAACAAAGAGGCTTGGTGGGGAAGATTCGGAGTTGAATTTCTCGAATGGGTTGCTTGAGTTTGGAAATGGGGGTCGTGAAAATTTTGGGGTTTATGTGGTCTCAGAGAAGGAAGTTGAGGTTTCTATACTGGGTTGCATTCTGGTTGTGTGTAGCTTTGGTGCTTTTTCAGCCGGTGGCGGGTCTCAGACCCTTGCGGGAAAGGGCTCGCTCGTGGGGTGATGAGGTTGGTATTAGAAGTTTTGTTTCTTTTTGTTTTATGTGCCTAACTTTGTTGTATTTGGTTGTTTGTGATTGAAATGTATGATGTTTTTGGGGTAAAGACTGAATTTCAATGTGGAAATGTGATTTTGATCTGCTAAGTGCTGCTATGTGTCTGAATTTTGATGGGAATGATGGAGATACGATGATAATTGCAATATCAAAGGTCATGAGGTTAATGGAGGAGCTCAATAGTGGTGTTAGAAGTTCTACATACTTGCTAGAAAACGTAAAGGGTCATGTTCTGAACCTTGTTATGAAGTTGGCTCGAATGCCAGCTGATTAATAAGTCATGCTTCTGAGTTATTTAGTGGAAAATTCTGAGTTCTGCGGCCTATCATGATTCGAAGTTAGTTTAGTTGGATATAGTGAGTTTTACATAAATCTATTGTTGTCTTCTGTTTTGTGAATCCAGCTACCTCACTTAACTGCAGTTGAAACTATGTTACGTTGGTTGGTATCATATAATTTGAATGTTGATTTAGCCACCCATTAGTACTTAAGTTATATGAACAAGGAGAATATGAAATCGTCTCTGTTTGCTGGTTACTTCCTTGGTAGTGTTCATTTTTAGGCAGCATAAAGCTCATCTGTGCATCTTACAAACTCCATTCTATATCTAGCGAAAATAATTTGTACACGATTTTGGTAGCCCAAAGATAACTTGTTTAGGTTCGGCTTACTCTCTCTCACTCGTATTATTCTATTATTTGTATTTATTCTTAAGGTTTAAGTTTGCAATTTCATTTTTGTACATTCATTAAATCTGTAACCACAGGAAAAATAAAGGAAAGATTCAATCACCTAAAGGCTTAGTTTGTTGTTTACTGCTAACTGATTGATTTTTTCAATTACAGCACCTGCAGACATTGACATTATCTTTTTCTGAAGTAATCTCATCATGTTTATGACCAATTTATTATTATTATTTTTTTCATGTCATAAAATTGAGGAAACCAATTAAATTCCTCATTTTTCTGTTTGCAGTGGCTATTTGTAAGAAAAGATGAAAGTGATTTGGGTCCATTTTCTACATGGAACATAACAGGAACTTACAGAGGTTTGCCACTTTATATTTTTGTACGATCTTATTGTGGCCATTCCTTGCGCAAAGTTGTTGATTACTAACTGAATCATAAGATATTCTTATTACTGGTCATAGAATTTGGTATTATGAAGCTTATTGCTGGGGTAATTGGGTAGGAACTGGAAGTCGTAGAATTTAGGGGATTGTGTAGCTTTAACCATGCTATTATGAATATACATGATTCCTGAAGGGGAATTTTTATGGACTTAGATAAACTATTTGATAACTTAAAACTTGGCTGATTCAAATGGCTTCAAACTCACTTGAGAGATAGAAGCATGCATGGATAAAATGATATTAATTGATGTCAACAAGTGAACAAACCTTGCCCTAGCTAGCTATTACTTTCTTTTGGCATTTGTTTAGGTAGGTTCTGCCCACCCAAGTTGTAGCCTTACTGATGAGGACATCTTTGTCAAGCCCAGTAGGGTTTATAAAAGAAAGAGATGGAAGAGGAAATCATTTAATTTGGTCTTTAAATCTGGCAATTTTGTATTCCTGCTTAGTTTCTAACTTGTTTGCTAAGTTTTCCAGATTTTAGTAGGATTGTTAGTTTTTCCAGATTTCAGTTGGATTTCTTAGTGTCCTATTTTATTTGGATTAGGATTTCTTTCCTAGAATAAGTTTAATTTTTCTTTTCACTCTAGGGTTAGATTATTATAAATACACCTTCTATGTAATTCATTATGGGAGTTGAGTTGTTGAGATATAAAGAAAAGTTTATTTTCCAGAGATTTGGGACTACTTGGTGTGAAGCCAAACCCCTGGAGGGATTCCAGACCCATCGTTGTTCGTTCTATTTTCTGTTTTTCATTGTTTTGCTTCTGCTACTCTACTTAAGCCTACATTCACCCATGTTCTACATCAAATTTGGTATCAGAGCCAGGTTGTGTGAAGCCAAAACCCCTGGAGTGATTCCAGACCTATCTTTATTTGTTCTATTTTTTGTTTTCTATTGTTTTCGCTTCTGCTAAACTACCTAAATTCTCAATTCACCCATATCCTACATCACTTACTGTGCTGGTCAGAAAAATTTAAGGGTTTCTAATACTCAATAACTAAGATCTTATTAGTTATATGTTTGAAGGTACAGATTTAATGCCTTTGTCTATTCTTTAACCTTCAATGCAATTGTTAGCATCTAATAGGTGTATGATTTTGTAGATAATGCTTCCCATTAGTGCTTTCTTAATAAAGATTTTTCAATAACAATGTTTGGAAAAACTTCACAATTACTTATGTTATTGGTTTTAGTTTTCTTAAAAGGTTTTATATACCAATCAAAATCATGGATGTTTTGATAACGTTTTACATAGAAGGTTGTGAGAAATTTAATATTTTCGATACTTTGGATTGCAGTAAGTTTATACATTAACCCCTTAGTTGTGTTCACGTACAAGTAATTGTTATTCCACATCCTAACAATTTGAGGTTTTGAGAACAGTGGTAAGCCAACAAACTTACGAATATATCAGAACAGAAGATCTTGAGTTCTGATATTTGCAACTGCAACCTCCCAAATTACATTGAATTCCATGTGTCCCAGTCGTGGAGGAGGCCCCCACATGCGAGGGGGACTGTTAAGAGTTTAAAATGATTGTTCCACATACTAACAGCTTAAGCTTTTTGAGAACAGTGATAAACAAACAAAACTTAATTAATTGAAGATGCAAGAAGATATAATATTTTCTTAGACTTACTTGGTTTCAGCCCCATTCGCAGAGCAAACATATTTGAATGAGTCCTTAGAATTGCGTCACATGAAGCATAGAGATATGTACTTGTCACATGCATTGGGATGAACACTTAATTTTTCAATTCGTTATTCTTGTCTGATAGGTGCTTGCATCTTATGGTTCAGTTTACATAAAGAAATGGAATTATGATTAAACTTTCTGAATTTTTTGCCATGCTACAAGTAGCACAATGTCATCAACTGACTTAAATTGTTGAATACACTATAATGCTACATTTGGATGAGAGATTTAAAAGAATGGATTTCAATTTTAATAAGTTTACATTGTTTAGGAAATATCATTCAAAATACTATCAAATGTCTTTGAAATAAATTCGAAATGATTGGATTCAATATAAAATTTTAAATAATTAACTATTACTACAGTGAATCTTTTCTGCTTGTATTCTCTCTTTCCTCCCACATAGGTGCACACTTTTTCTGCACTGTTAACATTATATTCAAGCACTTTAACTTGATACATTAATGGAGCCTAAATTCAAATTTTCAATTTAAAATCCATTCATTGGCCAGGTGTTTCTATCTTGACCTGATTAGGTGTGTTCTTTACATGTGAGTTGCAGGGACTTGGAAGTTTCCTGATTCTGCAAATAGCTCTTCCAGATTTCCGGATTTTAGGAAATCCGACGGCAACTCTATCATCGAATTAGTTAGCACGCAAACAAAAATAACTGGTGTACATTACGTGCAGGTGAGCAGTTTGAACCCTTAATGAAGGTCATATCAAAATAATGTCTGCAAGTGGTAAATAGCATGCCTTGGTCCATGAGATAAAAGGTGCTTATCGAAAAAGGTCCCCGTTGTTATGAATGATATTTGCAAGACGCCATGTTATCTGTTTGGTGATGAGTTTGACATCTATACATACTGCATGCAGGTGGTGGGTGGGTGAGTTTTTGACTGATGTATGAATGAACTTAGTTCTGTATAAATTTATGTGTATGCAAAATTTGAAAGTCAGATGATTCCATGCACACTAATGGCATGAACCTAGGGGGGCCCTTCTCTTGTGGACAGGCCAATGCAGCAATGCCTCAGGATTCTTTTTTAACCTGAATAAATTTTCTCCTGATGGGACATGTTCTCCATGATTTAAGCAGTCAAGTTTTTGTAGCGTTAGAACTTGATTTAGCAAGTGTGGCTATTGATTTGTGATTCAGTCTTTATGTGGACTTTATCATTTCTTGTTGAGCTTGATGACCTGCTTTACATTGCCTTATGAGTTAATAGATATATTGAAGCCATCAAGTATTTAATTTAGATGTAGTTCCTGGGAACATGTTCAATTGTAGGATATACAATTGATAGCACTCTTCCTCTAGATGTTTATTCTTAGTATTTGTTTTTAGCATTGTTTTTTCGAGTTATTATCATAGTTTTTTAATAAATAATTTCTGTTTCTTCTGTTGGCTGACAACAGGGTGTAATTATTTTCCATGATGTGTTCGACAATGAACACAATGTTGGTGGTGTTCAAATCAAGGTGGAAGGTGTATTTATATGGCCGTTTAGACAACTTCGAATGGTAGCTAACAGGTAATTTTCATGGTTTTTCTTAATCAAAGTTCGTCTCCTCTTTGTTGATTTCGTTGTTTGCACCTGGTTTGAAATTAAATTTTTCCGTTATACATATTTTCTCTTTCATTTTGCAGTGGAAAAGAGGGAGAGTCCAGTCAAGAAGAAGATTACATGTTGTCAAATCCGTATCATATGGTAGCATCTTTTGTTCTGCTCATTGTTATGCGGGCTAATAACTCTACGTTATTTTCTGTTATCTTATGATGCATTGTGTCATGGTGCTAGCTTGCTGTGCTTAGTCATATCTTGTTAGTTTACATTTATGTTGAATTTTGTCATCTGGAATGCCAGAGGCAGGGGTGGAGGTACATGGTTGCCCCAGGGGAGTTGTACTCAAGCTTGATTTTTTTTTTCCTTGGAAAAACAACTAATTGATGAGTTTTATTACATGGAATTAGGAAAATAAGATGGAATTCAACATGGCCGTGTGAGGGATCTAAAATCCAGTTGAATTCCATCTTATTTTCCTAATTCTAGTGTATCTTTCTTTGAATTTTAGATCCCCCACATGGCCACACTCCTCTATTCTCTAATCTCTCCCGCTATCAATCCATTTTGTATTATTGCTTAAATTCAAATTTGTGTTTCAAATAATTTAGTGCACTAGATTTAACTAGAGGTTATTTTGATCTGCTGTCATTAATTAATATCTTCATAATATAAAATGTTTCACTAGATTCATTAAATGGTAATTCATATACTAATTGCCAAAAGAGATATTGTAAAGCAAAGAAGCAGTGAATGTTTCACCTGGGTTTGGTTTCATGGTCCAAGACTGCTACCATTAATTACACTAGTTTAGATTTCGGTATGATAGACATGATACTTCTACTGATGAGGGTTTTGAGTTCTCACATGCTACATGCATAATTTCTTTGAACAGCTTGGAGTTTTCTCTTCCCAGGTTTTCCAAGAATCTCCTCGAGATAAGATATGGAGGAAAAAGCATTGTAATTTCTCCTACTCTGCTATGAACTCACCTTCATATTGCTTTTATGATGTTATATTAATTTCATTTGCTCTTACTGCAGCTCCAATTTATGAAATGGAGAAACATTGTAATATAGAAATTGCGGGCCAAATTTCACGTGTCTCATCCCCCCATAATGGTATTTGAGTTTTCTCAGCGTATGGAATCTTTCTTTCCTTTATTTGCTTCCTTACCATCCTTTTCTGAAAACTTTAAAAAATACAGTATCTGTAAAACGTACTTACACACTTCTTGGCAACAGTTTGCCTGATAAGAAATAATTCAGTTTTGGATAATTGAGAAGCTACTTTGCATAAAATTGCATGTCTTATGGATTTTCCCCTCCCCCCGTCGCCCATATCTAAACACATCTCAAGTGAAAGGCTAGATCTGATCCATCCCAATGATGACATGTTTACTTACTTGGAATGGGGGAATCATGAATCGGGGAATTCAAGAATAGGGGAGAGAAGGAATGGGTGTGGGATCAACTACCCTAATCAATCTATTTCCTGGTTTTTCAGGTATTGGATTATGGATTTTAATGTGGAGCCCACATAATTTTTATTCCTCATGTGTTAGTAAGCGCATGGGATGCCAATAATTGGAATAATTTACCCATGTGTTAAACACAGGGGGAGCCAATACCCATTCTGAGTAAGTAAACATGCTAAAAATATAATCCAATCCTTCTAGTCTAATCGGATCCTATCCCACTTGCCAAATGGAGAATATGTAATTAACTATGATCGTCATGTATGTCCATCATCTGATTCTTATCTTGTTTTGAAAATTCCATACTTATTATTAATTGGCTACATATCTTCCATTAGATGGTGATCGTGATCGTTACCACATAGAAGCATTCATGGAGAGTCCTGCAGTGGATGATGATGGAGATTGCTTCTCACCCTTGATACTAAATGCTACATCTGTCAACGTTGAGGTGTACTACAACAAAGCAGTGAACTATACCTTGATGGTCACCTTTGTATCCTTTATTCATCAGTCTTTCAGGTTGATTTCAATGTTATATGCCATTTTTGTGTAGGAGTATTCCTTAACGTATTTCCTCAGGTCTCCTTTCTCCAAGTTCTTCTCTTAATTCGCCAAATGGAACATAGCAACACTCAGTCGGTAAGAATTTTTGTCTAAACATAGTTTCAGAAAGAAAAAATATGGATTTTAGTAATATATGCTGCCATTAGTATTATGAGTACAGTATTTATCAGTTCGGTTTTCTTACTTGACAGAAGTAATCACAGTGGCCTTTTGCAGGGGGCTGCCAAAGTTTCAATTCTAATGATTGGCCAACAGGCTATCATGGATGCTTATCTTTGCCTTCTACATTTGACCGCAGGAATACTTGTTGGTAAGTTTAGTGATTTATCATTACCAGCTTGTTTGTAAATGTTTCCAATCTTAGAAGTTTTAGTATAGTTGTAAGACATAATACTACCTGGCTCGGTGTATTCACTTCTCAATGAGTCTTGGGGCTATTCAATTTCAACCTTTCATCTTCTTCCTTGTATCTTACTGATCTGACTCATACCAAACCCACACCACTCCTCAACCAGATTGGTAACCATCTTCCTATTCCGCCACACTTCATCATCTTATCCAACTGGGTCCTGAACACACTCTGTTTGGAGTTGTGCAATCTGGATCAGGTGTCATAAGGGATATGGGCAAACCAGGTAACTCTGGTACGACAGTTGCAATGAAGCTGTTGTAATTATACTTACTACAAAAGGTGAAGTTGTTGTAATCAATTAAGGTACTCAGTTGCCATTCGGATCAACAGATAGCTAAGAAGTAGCGTTTTGGATACTTTGAAGGGTTAATTCACTCATTTATAGTAGCTTTTTGGAAACTAGATTTCTGAAGGGCATTAATACCTGATGTGCACTTTAAAATTGCATTGCAAAGTGCAAAATTTCACGTAAATAAATTTTTCTCAAGATCCCAAGGGAGAGTACATGACAGAGTCAGGAATTAGAAGATTTTTGCATATCCTTCTGATACTATTAACCATTCTGTAGTTTTTTCTAGTGTTATTATTCAGGATGGTGGGGTAGGATATTTAATACTTTGTGCAAATTAACATGTCTGATATTGTAAATAGTGTGAAGAGCACTTTCATCATATATTTCCGTACATTTCAAAAGTTGTGGTACCACTTGACACCATGCTTGCAGCAAAGAGAGTGAACAGAACCCTTCTGACAGTATTCCTTTCTGTAGGCCATCTGTACAAAAAGTAGAATAATGATTGAATCCGTTCAATTATGCATGCAAACTGAAAGTATACTTTGGGTTATATCTCTCTGTCTCCCCCTTCTGTACAAAAAGAGAGTGAGCTCTTCTGACAGTTGCATCCGTATCTCTCTCTCACCCTCCCTCCCTCCCTCCCTGTGTGTGCACATGTTTGTGGATGTTGACTGTCGTTTTGACATATGCATGGCATAAATAAAATTATTAATTATTTTTCCATGCCAAGTCATACATATAATATTTGTGTCAACTGCGAATACATATGTTGGTGTATTATTAATTTGTTACAGCCTGATACGTGTGTTTTATTTCTTAGGTTTATAAACTACATCTCTTATTTTAGCAGCTGTCTCTTAATATGCTTAATGTTATTGTGCTTACATCCTTTATGGTCATCTCATGTTTTCATGACACTTTAAATTTCACCTATTGGATGGTCTTTTTGAAACCTTAATTTCCTGTTTCTCCCTATTAACTGTGCCTTTTTGCCTTATTTCTTGTTCTTACAGAATCCTTATTTAATGCTTTTGCAACTGCCGCTTTTTTCAAGTTTGTTGTCTTCTCAATATTTGAGATGAGATATCTTCTTGCTATATGGAAAGCAAGTAGGCCTACAAATAGTGGAGAAGGTTGGGAGACAATGAGGCGTGAGCTTTCAGTTTTATATAGCCGTTTCTGTAAGTGCTATTCTGGAATGTATGCTTTGTTTTCATGTGGGATGCTACTTCATCGACTTATGGTTTAACTTTTGAGTTAATAGCATTTATTGGGAATGATGTACACATACAGATGGGCTCTACATATCCATTAATATCCAATTTTTGAAGTAAATCTCTCTATATTCTCTAGGAAGAAGTATGTAGCTTAAAACAAAAGTTCGAAAGAAAAAAATGTCACACGACTGTCAGATCACTTAAAATCAGTTTTTCTTTTAGCTGAATAATGTTAGGGTTTAGGGTTATTTACACCCTTATTAACTGATTTTCTAAGGCATTTGATAAGTTGTTTGGTAACTTTTACCCAGTATAATGAGGTTGAAATTTTCCATCCAAAAGAGACTGGAAGATAATTGGGTGAGGGTTTTCATAAAATCTCTTGTTATTTCAAGAAATATGTAATTTGATAATGGTTCATAAACTTGACTAATTTAATGGCAAGAAACAATTATCAACCTAGGCTAGCTATCAGTGGGGTGACTTTGGAGATGTGCAAACAGTCCCTCAAGCCCCATGCATCTTGAAGATGTTCTTTACGAACTGATCAAAATTTCTTTCAATGTATCAATGCAGTTCTCTGAGATACTGATGTAGTTAGAACAAATACTATGTAACTTGATATACCTAATGACGTGGTTATCATCCAATGTATCAATGCAGTTCTCTGAGATACTGATGTATTTAGAACAAATACTATCTAAATTGATATACCTAATGACGTGGTTATCATCCTTAATCTTGGGTATCGCGATGGAGAAAAATAGATTGTAGATGGAATTGATATCCACTATGCTTGATGTGTGCTCGCTGATTTCCATTTTAGGTTTAAACTGTTGACTGAAATAATCATTATATGATTCGTTGTTTCAAACTTCAGGCTTTATCTAACTGTATAACTATTTTGCAGATGGGATCCTTTTGGGAGGCATTCTGTTCATGTATGAGTTCCATAACTTCCTGAGACCTATTCTTCTCCTTATGTACTCCTTTTGGATACCACAAATAATCACCAATGTTATTCGTGATTCGAGGAAACCATTGCATCCTCATTACATCTTAGGCATGACTGTTACTCGGCTTGCAATCCCGTTATACATATTTGGTTGCCCTAACAACTTCATGCGTATTGAGCCCGACAAGAGTTGGTGTATTTGTTTGGGTGTATTTATTGGACTGCAAGCATCAATTCTTCTTCTTCAGCACTATCTTGGCTCTCGATGGTTCATTCCTCGTCAGGTTTGATGCAACTCTGGTCATATATATTTTCGTGGAAATTCATTCTTGTTCACATCCTTTTTTATGTCATAATGACACGCACAAGCTAATTGCTGCATTGATAAGGAATGTTAATTATATGGTTAACATGTTGTGGAACTTCCACAAGCTAGGAGCAGATTTATTCTTTTGGACTATAATGCAAATTTCTTCTTGCAGTTGCATGGTTGTTAACTTGTTATCACATAAGAATATTAACATATGATTACAAAAAGAATTGTCACTAAATTCTTTTTGAATTTTCATCTTGAAGATCTGTAGACAATCCTTTATTAACACACAAATTTTGTATTAAGTTTTGAATTTCTTTTGTATTTTGAAAATAATATACTCTATGTCAGCTTGTAGCACCTTGGCATTCTTTCTATATCCGTGCATGTGTTTATAGAGGTGCACATGTATGATTCTCTGCTGCTCTTTCCA